CAAGACTTGCTACCTAAGTTTAGCCCTTTGATATAATGAGTTTGGGATCCCAAGATTTGATGTTTTTTCATATGTGCAAAGTGTGATTGTCTACACACTATTGTTATTCTTCTAAGTGGATGAAATACTCTGGAAAAGCATCCAGTCAGTCATCTTGAAAAAAAACAACTGTTGTTTCTTTGGAATATTGCCTTAGAAATCTGAGAGGTGTTCAGTGAAGGACAGCATATGGTTATCAGTCTAGAGAAAGTGCTCAGAGAACTTGGAAATTTTGAAAAAATAGAAGATACTTCGGGAGAAGTGAGAAAATTGAGAAAAATGCAAAAGATGTGTTCTTGATGTGTTTAGCTATTATTATTATCATTACCATTGCTAAATGATACTTTCCAATTAGCAAAAAAGTATGCTGGAGGCTATTGCTTTTACGTGGGCATCAGTTACACTTTGACAAAAAAAGAAATGCTTGCAAAGAGCAAGCCATAGAAGGCAAGTTAGGAAATGATACATATGTTTATCTATATTTATTTTATTGAATCAACACTGACAGCAGAAATACCCAACATTAATTAAATACTTCCATGTATTAGGGACTAAGCAAAAAATTAAAATATTATATTATTTAATCATCAGATCAATTAATTCTTTCCACTTTATTGATGAGTAAAGGAAGCTATACATATCTTAATAAACTTGCTGAGGGTTACCTACTAATAAATAAAAGAGAGGAGATTCAGATTCAAACAGAATTCTGAAGCTAGAGCTTGTGTTCTTATCACCTTTTTGCAGCTCCTGCGTGTGTGTGAGTGAGAATGAGGGTGAGAAAGAGGAATATCTACATTCTTATTTATACCTGTGTGGATGATCATGTGTAATACTCGTTTTTCTACTAATGCTTCTAGTAAATGCCAGTCTCTATGAGTAATTTATTTAGTTTTTCAGTTAGTTATATATATTATTGATTCCATATAACTCGATAATGACTGCAATCATAAAGAAACACATTCTTTTGAAATGTCATGGGCAGGAAAGATAGAAACTCCAGTATAAGAAATCCAGTGTCAATTATTTTAGATGATTACCTTGCAAGTAGATCTTTAAAGTATTTGAGCTATAGTCACTTTTCACTAAATTTCTGATAAAGGATCACCTGCTTTTTATGCAGTTTCCCCTTGTCCCACTCACCCACTCTTAGCTGTCTAAGGTTAGAGTCCATGCTGCCTCCTTCTTACATGAAACCCTCCAATAGCTTTGCCTGGCAGGCGCATTCTGTGAATTTCTTAGCAGGACCACCTGGTCTTCTTCACGCATGCACCTGATTGCTCTGCACTCGTCTTTAAGTGCTTGATGGTACTTCGCTCTCTCCCTACAATACAACTTACCCCTCCTACTTTCCCTCAAGATGATTATCACTCCTTATTCTGTTCCTTAGCATGTTACCTCTATAGCACTCTCACATGCTCATTATTTTAACATATTTCTCTCTCTCACTAAACCAAGACCTGGATGCTCACATGCCATTTGTGGTGTCAGTAAGTTCATGAGAAGTATCTTATAAATAACAACATCAAATGACGGCAAGTATTCAGAGATGCTGAAACTATATTTGCAGAGTTGAAGAGAGGATACTTTGTCTGAGAGAGTCACCAGTTGGGTAATATAATAGAAAACCTTAAATTGAGTTTTTTAAAGAGTAAATGAGTAAAGTTTTGCCAAGAGAATGGAAAATCTTATATGAAGGCCATTTTAAGATCCTGTTGCTACATGGAATTTATGAAAAGGAAAAAAATACCAAAATGTTCTGACCAATAATGACATTAGATAACTTTATTATGAGGAAGACTAAGACCAATTTAATAAACCATAACATTGGCAAAGTTTCTGGAAACTGCAATGTTGACTTATAGTTTTTCTTCCAATGTTATCAATTTATAAGATAATGTAGATGTTGAAATACCTGCAATATAAAGAAAGGGTGTAATACAATTTTTGCTATGGTAGCTTGTCATTTTACTGTGTTCAAGTCCAAAATGTATAACCAGATTATCATCCCATGTCCTTCCCTGGCTTCCACTCTTAATGTTTCTGCCACCTTTTATTTGAATTTCTGGAATGCCCCGCTTTCTCTTACTTCAGGCCCCAGCCAGCTCCATCCACTCTCTGGAAAGAACACCCTTTATCTACTCTTTATCGTTAATCTTCTAGTTGTTTCTGACTACTGTTTAAAATTTACTTCCTAGAGAACGTTTCTCTTGCTTTTCAATCTATTGTGATATAATATCCCATTCTTCCTATTATATATATTTTGAGATGGAGTTTCACTCTTGTTGCCCAGACTGGAGTGCAGTGGCCCAATACCAGCTCACTGCAACCTCCCTATTGCAGGTACAAGCAATTCTCCTGCCTCAGCCCCCCACATAGCTGGGACACATGCCACCACACCTGGCTAATTTTTGTAATTTTAGTAGAAACGAGGTTTTACCATATTGGACAGGCTGGTCTGGAACTTCTGACCTCAGGTGATTCACCTGACTCGGCCTCCCAAAGGTCTGGGATTACAGATGTGAGCCATCACGCCCAGCCTCTTATTTTTTTTTACATAATGGCACTTATAATAATTTGTACAAGCATGTTTACTTGTGTGGTTATTGTCTGTCACTGTTGCCCCTCTAGACATTATAATCCCAAAATTGCTAAAAAGTATTTACAATCAGTTTATCATTGGACCGTACTCACAAAAATATTATGTTTTTATTTTTTCTCCCTTCAGAGAGTAGGAAAATCAATAAGCACAGTGTTTATCATCCTTTTAGCTCTCTGAGCATCTACTGGCAGCAAGGGTCGGAGTGAAATTCTACAACCCTGAGAGTAACTGCCTTCCATTAACTCTCTTCCAATGATTATAAGAATGCAAGCAGGAAATAAAGAAAATATTATTTTTAAAACACTTGCTAAAGCAGAGAATTCCATCTAACATTTTGGGTGTTTTATAATTATACACTTATATCCCTCCTTATGAGAAATGATTAAAGATACCAGTGATTAACCCTGTGACCATTTTCAGTACACTACATATATACAGGATATATATTTTCATGAGTCATTTAACAATGGAGATGTATTCTAGGGAGTGCCTCTCAGTTAGATGATTCCACTATTGTACGAACACCACAGAACTTGCTTACACAACCTGAGACAGCATACCCTACTGCACAGCTATGTTATACAGTATAGCTATTGCTCCTAGGCTACACACCTGTATAGCATATAACTGTACTGAATACTGCAGGCAAAAGTAGCACAATGGTAAGTAGTTGTTTAAACACATCTACACACCGAAAAAGTATAGTAAAAATACAGCTTAAAAGATTTTAAAAAGTGGCACACAGGTACAGGGCACTTACCATGAATGGACCTTGCAGGATGGAAGTTACTCTGGTTGAGTCAGTGAGTGAGGGCTGAATGAATGTGAAGGCCTAGGGCATTACTGTGCAGCACTATAGGCTTTACAAATACTGAACACTTAGGCTACACTACATTTATAAAAAGTGTTTTTCTTTCTTTGATAATAAATTAACCTTAGCTCACTATAACAGTTTTTACTTTACAAACTTACTTTTTTAAACTTTGGACTTTTTGTAAAAATGCTTAGCTTAGTCATGCAGCTGTAAGAAATTATTCTATATTCTTATTCTGTTATTCTATGTGTTTTTTCTACTTTTAAATTCATAAATTTTTCTTTTTTTTTAAAAATATTTTTGTTAAAAACTAAGACAGAAACACACACATTAGCCTAGGCCTACACAGAGAGAGTCAGGATATCCAATATCACCTCTTCCACCATCACATTTTGTCCCACTGGAAGGTCTTCAGGGACAATAACATGCATGGAGCTGTTATCTCCTCTGACAACAATGCCTTTGGATACCTGTGGAAGGACCTGCCTGAGGTGTTTATAGTTAACTATTTATTTTTAATAATTAGAAGGAGTACACTAAAAAATCAATAAAAGTTTAATACAGTAAATACATAAACCAGTAACATAGTCTTTCTTATTATTAAGTATTATGTACAATACATCATAATTGTATGTGCTAGCCTTATACAACTGTCTGCACAGCAGGTTTACACCAGCATGACCACACACACATGAGTAATGCATTGTTCTATGACATTACAATGGCTATGGCATTGGTAGTGCATGGGAAGTTTTCAGCTCCATTATAGCCTTACAGGATCACCATTTCATATGCAGTTCATCATTAACCCAAACGTCCTTATGTGACACATTACTGTATTTAAAATGCTATCTCTGACATGCTGTACTGGGTTACTCCGTTTCATAAATTATTTGCGTCACTGCTTTTTCTCATGTTAACGTCTCTTAAATTGGAATACATATAAATTTGTGAACACTTTAGCTGAAAACTTCTGGTAAAACCAAGAAATTGCCAGCATCAAAGTTGTCTTTTTGATACAATAAAATATAGTTACACAAGTAAGGTAAATATGCGTTGTCTTTTTAAGCAATATGGCTGTAGACAAGTTAGGCTCATTTCTGTATTCATTTCTCATGGAGAAGAATATTTTAGCTTACTTATAAAGTTCTTCAAATTTGCAAACATGTACATAAGCATTATTTGATTTCAACATCATAACGGTTATGTAAGGTAGGGAGGAGATAGTGTGTCAGCCCTTTGTACGGTAATAAACCAAAGCTCGTATGTTAAATACTTTGGTGGTTATACTGTTTGTAAGAGTTAATGTCAGAAACCCTAAAATCTATTTTACAGACATGTTTCAGTGTAAAGACTGAGGTCTCATGTGTTAGTTATTGGCTTTGAAGCCTGGAGTTCTGGAATAATTTTTAATGAAGACTTGGTGAAGTCACACAATGTTAATCTTTTTAACTGTGGCTTCCATGCCTTGCTGCAGTCAGGAATGGCCAGGTTAGCAATATGCAGTGATGTGTACCAGCCTGTGTAACTCCAGGTTTTCACCAGGACAGTGACCTGCTGGACCGGCGGAAACACTGCTTCACCGTGCAGTCGGAGTCTGGGGAGGACCTGTACTTCTCAGTGGAGCTGGAAAGTGACCTCGCCCAGTGGGAAAGAGCCTTCCAGACAGCAACCTTTCTAGAAGTAGAACGGATACAGGTGAGAGTCTGTAGGACCACGGGATCTGTGCCTTTCTCAAATGCATGACAATTCATTCCAAAGTAGTATAAAAATACAGTTCTGGGAGTCGACCTCCTCAAAGACATTCTGTCATTAGCCATTTTTGTTTAGTGATTAGCAATACAGCTCTGAATAAAATTTTAAGTTTTCCACAACTTGATCATTCCAGGCTATTTCCTACTGCTAATCAAAAATATATTTCTAATTTTAATTAGACAATGCTCTGAATTCAATCTCATATAGAAAATGCTCTGATTTAATTAATTGTTGACAGGGTCACTTCCGGTTTTCCAAATATGACCTCCTCATTTCCAGCCTGTTGGCTTCATTTACTCACAATGCTCTTTCTTCTAGAAAGCCTTACCTTTGTCTTTGTCATTCAAAGCCACAAAGAGTTTTTGAAACTTTTTTCTAAAGGTCATATCATCCAGGAACACATTCCTGATTTCCAGTCTACCCTGCCCAATGCTTGCCAATACTCCACTTACAACTATCCTGTTCAAACAAGGCTCTTCTTCTCACTTTTGAATACAATATAACCTACTTGCCTGTTTTTTTAAGGATTGCTCACACTCAGTCTGTGTTGTATTGGAGTGACATGCACTTATCATCCTCTGCACTAAATTATCGGCTGTTTGAAATTATCTTATTAATATGCCAACCAAAGTCCAATTCATTTTACGCATCATGAGTATTCAACAGATATTTATTGAGCTTTGTTTCTTAAATGTGATGTTACACCTAGATCAAATTTATAGAACCCTCAGAGTCAATTATTCACAAGACTATTGAATGAAACAGTCTCCCAAAGCTGGTTCTGTGACTGACCTCAAATAGACCTGTGAACAAATGGAAAGGTTATCACGTGCTTGCCACATGCAAATGGATCCATAAAGCAAGGATCTAAATACACACATGGACGCCTAAGTTTGAAAACAAATATGGCATTGACTATACCGTTGTGTTTGCCTAAGACAGGATTGCTGGATACATATTTTTTCAACATGTTGAACTGATTTCTATCCTCTGACTACGAACCTATGTAGTCAACACATCAATTGTACCAGTATGACATTATAATCAGGGGAAGAGGACAGAGAGAAAACTCCAATTACAGTTTATCAAATTGTTTACTTGGCTCTTTTCAATAACTCTGCTTTTATCTTCAAGTATCTAAAAAGCCTTAAATAGGTAAAAAGAAATTCTACAATTTAACTCATAGAATTTCAAAAAATAGATATTATAATATCAAAATATATTAAATATGATTTTATCTCAAGTCAAGGTCCAAGACCATTTAAAGTATTAAAATATAATTTAATTGACTGTAATTTAATTTAATTTGTTATTTAAATTGATATTTTTAGGATTTTTAAATTATTATTTCTCTACAATAGTTCATTTCACTTGGAAACAACTACATGATAATTTTAACATTTGGTTCCAATTTAGTACTTTTTTAAGTTTCCTGATATTTATAAACCAGATAGAGATAAAATCTTTGAATCTGGGCCTTGTATTCTGTAAACTTATATCCAAAAAATACACTGCACTATCTCCTTACCCATTCACAGTGGCAATTTAAGATAACTGTCAGAAGTGAAAAATAACATATTTAATGCCTTTTTAGCTTTTAGTTGCTCTACATATTTTATAACTCCCTTTTGTTTATTGCATAAGAAATCAATGGCTGAACACTTTCGTAGTGTTATTTTCAAAATTCAAGTATTTGAACATATTTACATGAAGAACGTTACTTGTTGGTTGGTAGGAAATTAAAGAAAGAACATATGTTCTATTGTAAAACAGGCAGAAAAAAAAATCAATCGACTTTTAAAGTGTTTCTCATTTGAACTTCCTTAAAAAGGTTAATGTATTTATTGATTTTTCTCTGGATAATGTTTTTAATGAAACAAATTAAACAACAAATTAAATATTTCAATATTAAACCTTTGTTATGTATATTCATGATATGCTATTAACATTATAAATTACAGAACTTGACACTATATAAATTGAAACTTCAGTGAGTCTCAATTTATGTCACATCTATTCGTTTCAATTTAATGATTATTGAGAAAATCTAATTTGTGATGCTGAACTTAATAGAAAAATTTTAATGCACTGCACCGAATTTGTTTTCACCTGACATTTTCTTGTTTAAATGACAGTACTTGAAATTAGCAAACCATTGTGTTTAAATTAGGAGGAAATTTTATAGCCTTAAACATTTCTTAATGTTGATAATAGTTTTAATAAAGCTCTAATGGGTGGATGTAAGCATGCACAATGCTCATGTATTGAACAAATATAATTACTCCCCAAAATGGACTTTTGAGGCTTGTTATGTTCTTTAATCTGCTTTTTAACAAAAGGCAATTCTAAAAGAATATTTTTGCATTATTATAATTTTTCTATGCTAATAATGCTTAAACACATGAATGTAATTTTTGGTAAAGACAACTTGATGTATTTAGTCATGATTATATTCAAAATGGGATTCAATTAATGTTTATATATAATATTATAAAAACAAATACAATATAAGGATAGGTGCCGAAAATTGGCCTCAGATAATATTCTCTTCCTTTCTCTCTCTCTCTGTCTCTCTCTCTTTTATCTCGCACATGAATCATAAAGATTTTTCATGACTGGAATATTCCACTGCAAATTAAATGTAAATGCAAATAAAACAAGCTTATAGATGTAAAAATACATCGTGTTTCATATAAACCTCAAATTTTTATTATAAATTTTATTTATATTCTGTTTTCTTTGTATTTCAGTATCCATATTTACTAGTCTTTCCAAAGTATTTATAAAAGAAAAATTATTATATTATCAGATCTCATTGTGAAAAGTAACTGCTTGTTGATTTTTAAGGAATTACCTGTGGTTCTAAACAAATACATTGGAAAGCAGTAAATATCTTTGGGAATAGCTTGTGCAATATGGAAAAACAGAGAGAGACTCTTACAGTCTAGATACATTCTTTTGACTTGGTTACTGAATCTGTATTTGTGTGTGTGAGAATCTCTTTTAGTAATATCCATGAAATTGATATTGTGAGAATTCAAGACACTACTATTTAACAATAGTTATTTTTTTAGTTGACTGAAAATGCGGTGATGCTTGGCTACATTATATAACAGCTTAATATAAACTTGCCTACACCTAAATCTTTTTATATACCACCTTTATTGTCAATATAGCAAAGACAGGCAGTGTAGTACAATGTAAAGACAAAGCTAGGGGAGCAGGATTGGAACCTTGGCCAGGCGTACACCTTGGCAAGTTAAATAAAACCCAATACTCTCAGCATCTGTTTCATTAACACTAAAATGTTGATAATGCTTTCTTTTTTATACAATTATTGTTAATATTAAATTAGATATTGTATAAAGTACTTATTGGAGAAGCTGTCACATAGTTCTTGATATTGAGATTGCATCAGTAACATAAAAAGTAATAATACTTTTTGTTCTATCTAGTGCAAGACCTATGCATGTGTGCTAGAAAGTCATCTAATGGGACTCACGATTGACTTCAGCACAGGATTTATCTGCTTTGATGCTGCAACAAAGGTAATGCGTTCAGGTCAGCTCTGAGAAATATGCTGCAAACCTTCTAATCCAGGAATAATTTAAATACCTCGTAACTCTTTTCAGCATTTTAATTGTCATCATGTCAAATTTAAGATCCTCGTTTTTGTTAATGGAAGATAAATTATGCTTCAATTAACAAAAGTTTGAATTTTTAATAAAACAAATGTAGTACCACAAAACTATAACTATGTGAAAGTATATCTATCCATGTATCTATGTAGCTAGCTAGCTGGCTATCATCATTTTACCTTTTCTTAAATATATGACTTTATAATTGAAGGAACATTTTCTTTCCCAAAAAGCAATTTTTAAAAAAATGTTTATTTATACTTTATCTGCATCAACTTCTGCAAGATGAAAATAAGGAAAAAAAGGTTTTTTTTTTTATTTTTTTTTGAAGAATTATAGCTAACATGTTAGAATTATTGAATGGTGAAAATGTAAAGTTTAGTTTCTAGCTAGGGAGTATAACTTGTATAAACATTTTACTTAATAAGCATTATGCTCTATGAGGTGTTCTTTTCCCTAAGTATATATCTCTAGGAGTGATGCACATTGAATGACAAAGGGTGACTACTCAGCCAGTCATAACTAAAAAAATCCACCTTTGATGACTATGGATGGAAAATGACAAAGCCAAATGCACATTATTATCATTATTTTTAATTGGAAGTAATCGTAAAGTTCAACTGACCCCCATTCAACTGCTCATCTGCTTACAGTCACTGCTACAGTTTGTGACTTGGGGCTCTTGACATCATGGAAGACATTCTCTTCCCTCTGATTTGGACATTGATTCTTTAGATCCATTCCATTTTCCCCTTCATCAAAGTGGGGCTTGAGTATATATTGATTTGTTCCTTCTCACTAATTTTAGGGATTCATGAGCAATCCTTTACCAGAACACAAATATTTTACCTAGAAATTAAGTATTGTGTAGGATTTTCTAAAGCAAATGCCAACAAAATCAAACAGTTATACAAATGTGTAAGAAAGATGGAGTCTAGGAGACAGTGGGGGGTGCTTGATTTGTGAAAGATGAACATCTAATGGTGGGGTCCAGGTAGGATGCTGCCCTGTGCTCATTCGCCTTGGGAATCTTCATGATTCTGCAGCTGGCATTGTCCTACAATATCTCACATTATTTGAAGATTGTTAATATTTATTTTTAACATTGTAAAATTAGCACACATTTGCCGGTCAGATTTGGCTATCTAATGTGTTGCATTTGCATCATGACAAAAGAATACTTTGTGAATAAGGAGTTTTAAATGCCAGTAACTCTTGAAAACTCTCAAATGAGACTGCCATGCACTAGTCTTATTACTAAAAATTTTTTTTATTTGAATACTCATCAAATCAAGATAGGCTCCTGAGTGTTAAATTAGTTTGATAAATTAACTAACTGAATTATTAAATAGTTAAATGAGTAATAAATTAATTTTATAAATAAACTTAGAAACAAATTATACCTTTGGGAAGCCGAGGAGGGCGGATCACGATGTCAAGAGATCAAGACCATCCTGGCCAACATGGTGAAGACCCGTTTCTACTAAAAAAATACAAAAATTAGCTGGGTGTGGTGGTGTGAGCCTGCAGTCCCAGCTACTCGGGAGACTGAGGCAGGAGAATTGCTTGAACCCGGGAGGCAGAGGTTGCAGTGAGCCGAGACCCATGACTGCACTCCAGCCTGGTGCCTGACGACAGAGTGAGACTCTGTCTCAAAAAAAATAAATAAATAAAAAACAAACAAAAATAAATAAATAAATTACACTCACTAGAAAAGTGAAAGTCTGATTTTAAAAAGAAAATATAATTCCCAGAGTTGTCACCAAACTCTATTACATGAATGTGAAAGAATCTTACATTATCAAATGAGAAAAATAAAATTCACATGAATATAATTCTGAGTATATTAATCCATTCTGAGTTTATTTTAAGGCTAGCTATGTTAGTGTTCCGTTGGCTGTGCATAAGGGAGAAAATCATGACACCAATGTCCTATCCGACATTCCTGTCTACTTCTGCTGGATGTTCTGGGAATGAGTGAATAGTCAGGAGTGTCTAAGTGAATGATTACGATACCATCTGGGGCAAACAGTTTAGTAGGAAATGAGAGTTTAATTGGTCCAAGCTTGATATTCAGGAAGCACCAGAGGCCTTCAGGAATACTAGTCACTGTCCTATTTTCTGATTATATCATCGGAAGCATCTACCTTCAAGGGAATCTGAGAATTGGGAGAGGCTAAAAGGAATCTATACACATTAGTGAAGAAGGTTATAATGTCCATCACAGATTATGACACTTGGAGGATGTAAGTAGGAGCTATTAATAGTTCTGTCAGACATAAAGAGGAGGGCAGGTGTAAATGGAGATTCCTGGGCAAATCACTGAGCTGGGGCTTTCTGCAAGAAACTTGCACCCCTTCATCAGATGAACCTGGAAGTTATTTTCAAATATGACAAAAAAGATAATTGTTACATACAAATCAAAGCATGTTTTTTTAATGTTTTATTAAAATAGTTAATATCTAGTTATTTTCTCTCTGTTTTTTGCTAAGTGATATGAATGTGAAAAATATCCTTAACACTATATGTTGCACGGGTTTTAAATATTTGGATTCAGAAGGGTTTATCCTTTAGCTGAGCGTGCTTTGTCCTTGTGCGCTTCATCCTGATAAGTCCCCCAACCTTGAAGTTACCACAGAGGCAAACCAAAGGTCTTGTGATGAAGTAGAGATTCCAGGAAAGGGGTGGACTCTATTCTGGGTCATTAATTGAGCTCCATATAAAGCAGATAATGTATTGTTAATACACTGACAATGAAGGAAAGAATTGCTGCATCTCTTATGTCAGGGAATGAGAGTCAGCATGATTTTATATCACACTGGAATGCTAAAAGTTTGGATACAGAAGGATGTCTGGGAATGTCAAGCTAATTCTCATTGCTTATGACCTGTGCTTGGAAGTTCCCAGAGAAAGTGATTACCCTTGACTTGCCAGAGCACAAGACCTATTAAATAGCATTCAGTTTCATATACTTACATTTACATTAGCAGCATATCAGGAGGCAATGCATTTGTCAGTTCCCTTATAGTTGTTAGGTGATTTCCTCACAAGTTCATTACTGTGCAGCTCAGCTTGTTCTTTGTAATTCTAACCCTTATTAATATGTAGCCTGTTCAGTGTTAGAAAAGGGCATTCTTATTATTATGTCAAAGTATAATGTTAACTGTACTTAAATAATTTACATAGCTAAAAGCATGGTCTTGTATCCATTATATTGTATTAAATATGTATATGTGCATTAATTAATTATATCTAGTTATAGAGTCCCTAGGTAAGCAGAAGCCTCAGCAGTGGCATCTACAAAACACTCATTCAATTTGTAAATAAATCTTCATTGAATGCCTGCTGTTTCTTGAGAGACATGGGAGGACATATATGTCAGTCTTCACAGATGTTTCCTGTAAATTGAGACAAGAAAGGGGAAACTATCCGGGCAGGTATCTGTAAGTGAGGAAGGACATGGAATTTGAGGGCAGAGGAGATGAGGGATCATGTATGTGGGTATCTAAGAGCCAAATTTGGAAAAAAGATCAAATTAAGAAATTTGGATGTGATTCTAAGAACAGGAGAATACTTTTAGTGTTTGAGGCATAGGAAAGAAATGGTCAGATGTGTGTTTGACAATAGAAAACTAATGGAGTAAGATATAATTGAAATTTAGACAATCTGGGCAAAACCAAGATTCCAAGTGGTTTTTTAGATTCTTTTAAAAATTTTAAAAATTTTTTTATTATACCTTAAGTTCTGTGATACATGTGCAGAACATGCAGGTTTTTTACATAGGTATGCATGTGCCATGGTGGTTTGCTGCACCTGTCAACCCGCCATTTAGGTTTTAAACCCTGACGGTATTAGGTATTTGTCCTAATGCTGTCCCACCCCTTGCCCCCACTCCTCAACAGGCCCATGTGTTCTCATTGTTCAGTTCCCATTTATGAGTGAGAATATGTGGTGTTTTGTTTTCTGTTCCTGTGTTAGTCTGCTAAGAATGATGGTTTCCAGCCTCATCCATGTCCCTGCAAAGGACATGAACTCATCCTTTTTTTAGGTTGCTTAGTATTCCATGGTGTATATGTGCCACATTTTCTTTATCCAGTCTATCACTGATGGGCATTTGGGTTGATTGCAAGTCTTTGCTCTTGTAAATAGTACTGCAATAAACATTTGTGTGCATATGTCTTTATAGTAGAATGATTTCTAATCCTTTGGGTATATACCCAGTAATGGGATTGCTGGGTCAAATGATATTTCTAGTTCTAGATCCTTGAAGAATCACCACACTGTGTTCCACAATGGTTAACTAATTTACACTCCTACCAATAGTATAAAAGCATTCCTATTTCTCTGCATCCTCAGCAGCACCTGTTGTTTCCTAACTTTTTAGTTATCATCATTCTAACTGGTGTAAGGTGGTATCTCAATGTGGTTTTGATTTGCATTTCTCTAATGACCAGTGATTGTGAGCTTTTTTTCATGTTTGTTGGCTACATAAAAGTCTTCTTTTGAGAAGTGTCTATTCATATCCTTTGCCCACTTTTTGATGCGAATGTTTTTTTTTTCTTGTAAATTTAAGTTCACTCTGGCAACCTACCGAATGGGAGAAAGTTTTTGCAATCTGTCCATCTGACAAAGGTCTAATATCTAGTTTCTTTTGCTGTGCAGAAGCACTTTACTATAATGAGATTACATTTATCAATTTTGGCTTTTGTTGCAATTGCATTTGGTGTTTTAGTCATAAAGTCAATGCCCATGCCTATGTCTTGAATGGTATTGCCTAGATTTCCTTCTAGAGTTTTTATAGTTTTAAGTCTTAGATTTAAGTCTTTAATCCATCTTGAGTTGATTTTTGTATAAGGTATAAGGAAGGGGTCCAGATTCAGTGTTCTGCATATGGCTAGCCAGTTTTCCCA